TCATCAATTTCCATTCCCCCCTTGACAAAGTGAAGTCCCCCTCAATTTTTACACCAAAGGGGGACAATCCCCCCTCATGGCTTCATCCTAGATGAAACACTGATCTTTATGTACCGGTAGATTTGTCAAGACCAGATAGTTGTCCCTAAAATGTGTTTTTTCATTATCATTTACAAGACACTGCTGAAATTGTTTATGACACTTAGTATGAACATAGAGCTCAGTGGTATGCTTCTTATCTTTTTTTCCTATGTGAAGTTTTTTGGATTCTTTCTCTTTGAAACTGTATTGTAAGAAAAACCAGGTTCCCCTAATCATGGAGGTAAAAAGAGAAGGAGTCACAGCCAAGCTTAGATCAAAGGTACCAGGATGGTCGCCGCTGTTTGTACATGGATCAGGGAGTTTATTTGCCGAACGAATCAAGGAAGACAGTTTCCTCTTAGCCCAGTGAGGATTACCATGAATTAGCATTCTACGGATGCCTTCGGCAGCACTCTGTGATTTTCGTGACAATTCTGTCAAATTCTTACATGTTATGTCCTTCAATTCAGAAGACGTAAACGAAATCGAAGAGCATATTATCGACAAAAAATTGTTTTCCATATGCTATGAACAAAACGATTGCTCGAAAACAAAAAATGCAGCGCATTTCTTGACGCACTGCCGTAGGAAGTAGGAAATACAAGGGATATAAACTTCAAAAAGCGTCATTTCGAATCTCAAAATTCAGTCTCTGGTACAACGAGGTGCAGTCCATGCCATGCACCATTGCAAAGATCATTAAACAAGCTTTATTGTGGACTAAAAACAGTACTAGCAAGGTTTCGAAACATTACAATATTGCTGATTCAAAAATACAACGGGAAAATGTGCTGAAAAACGAAAAATTCAAACTTTCTCGTTCTCACGAACACAATTCCTCTACGTATAAAAGATCTGCGCATGCTTTATGTCCTTTGACATTTACTGCGACACCGTAAAACAAGACCTTGAAATGTGTACTGTGCGCAGCAACGCTCAAGAGTAAATGACGCATCAGCGACGATCCTGGGGTGAAAGGACGATAAGACAAAGAGAATTATGGGATTAAACTTGTTTAAAACAAAAGTTTAGAAGGATTATTTTGGCTGTGACTCCTTCACTTTTTACCTCCATGCCCTAATCTAAACCTAGGTTTCCCTGGTCTTTCTTTCTTTGTTCTGTTTGTTTTCAGTGGGGGTGTTAATGTGTGTTCACCAGGAAGTCAGGTTCAGTCTTACTGCAAATTTGCATATCGTAGGTCAATTAGGTTTGAATAGGGCTGGAAAGGGCAGGCCGGGTTAACCCAGGTTTGACCAAAGTGTTTGAATATGAGATCAGCCCTTTAGATTTTTGAATGTCAACATCTGCCATAACTAGGTTGTCACATCGTTTATTTTTTTTAGCATAATTTCTACAAAGCTACATCAGAACGACACTGTCATTGTGTGGATGAAATTTTCCCTAAACCTGCCAATTCTTGATCATATCATGGCAAATGTTGACAAAAATGAATCAATTTATTGAATCAGCCTAAAACTATTCTTATTCTATTAATTCATGTCGAAGCAAAAAATAATTTGTATCCTATCAATTTGTGCTATGATGTTCACCTTTATGTCAGTTTTTCCAACATTTATTTTTTGTGACACCAAAACAAGGGTGATGTTTCAAATAAATACAGTAAATAAATGCCCATATCTTGTAAGATGCTTGTGTTTATCCAGAATTTAATGTTGCATAAATTTTTTTGTTGCTCTTAATTTCCGTTGTATTGATAATTTAAAGCAGGGGTCTATAATCCTATTTCATTGCTAAAAAAAATTATGATTTTCATTTTCATTTCTCTAAATAAAATATGGATTGCAAGCAATTTACATGAGCTGAGGAAAGCTTCCAAGTACATGGCTTTGGTTGAGAAGGCACTTGGTTTCAACACCAAATTTGATATTATTCCTGTACACAAAGATAATCTTAATACCTAAATTTTTCTGAGGGCATTGAGGCTTGTCTGCCCTGTTTGTATGCAATCCCTGTGTAATGAACCTTGTACACCAGTATAATTATTGCATTCTGCTTTGTCATACTGTTTGTCTATTCTGCATGTCATTTGTATTTACCTAACCTCTGTAATGACCCCCTCATTGCCTTTACACTTCTACTGGTTACAATGATTGATGAATTGTCAGTTCTTGAAACGACCAACAAAATACCAATAATATGTCTAAGCTTGTGATCTATTGACGTTTAAAGCAAATATATAAATCTCTTCTGGATAAAGAGTAGTTCAATAAAAACTACTTCCAGTCATCTGTAACATTCAAGTGTTTATTCTTGATGATCTTTGATCCCAAGGGATTTTCTGCAGACTTGATGCCTTCAGTATAATGTGGGGGCCTATAAATTCCATTTCCTGTCTGTGTAACCTGGTATGTTTTGCTCCTGATGTATTGGCACTCGAAGGTAACATCTGTGAAAAACAAAAAAAAAATCAATAAATTCATATGAATTTTGTTACCTAGAGATGTTTTATTTGACTAGAATTTAAAGGGTGGCAGTCGTCGTGCCGCGTCCTGTTCAATATGGGACTCGTAGTGACGTATACAACGCGTGTAAAATACATTGTTTATTTACATGAAATTCGAACACGCGCTGCGCGATGTCAACCCGCGCGCTTTGAGCTTGAATAGCAGATTTGTGATCCAGTGCACACCTTGCATAGCATTGGTGCTGTCTTTATTCAAGACTATCTTAGTCGGTGATATTGCTGTTTACTGAATAACTTTTACACATGTTTGCATATACAAGCCAGACATCTTGGGATGTTTCACACTAGCATTACTACTGTGATTGATATGCACTGTGGTGATGTGATATTAATATTTAACCCTTTGAGCACCATTGTCAAATTTTGGCACCATCTGCAAAATAATTTTGTACAGCCTACTCCTCTCATTATGACAAACCTTTAGATCAATAACTAAAAGCAATGTCTGAAACTGTATGGTCCAAAATGATGACATTTAGTAACAATTTTACAAAATAGGAACATGTTTGCGTTGAATTTTGGACAGGAAAAATATCTGGCACTTGAAGGTTTGAGCAGTAGCCTTAAGCTTTGCAATCAGCCTAGTAACTACGCTGAATAATGTTTCATTAAGATGAGTCATTAGCGTATATATTTTACTTGTTTATCCTTGCAGAACAAAGTAGGCGAGACGACTTAGAGTCACTGGGTTATATGCTTATGTACTACAATCTCGGGAGTCTGCCATGGCAAGGACTAAAGGCAGCCACCAAAAGACAAAAATATGAGAGAATAAGTGAAAAGAAGATGTCAACACCCATTGAAGTTCTTTGCAAAGGCTATCCATGTAGGTTGAAGTAGTCCGTTGTTTTGTCTGTCTGTCTCTCTCTTCTGCTCTCACTTTCTTCCACCTTATCTTTTCATCCACATTCTTGACAACCCCATTACACCACACCCATGTAATTCTCTGTTTCTCTTTGTGTTTTTTTGTCTTTGTCTCAACAGCCGAGTTCGCAACTTACCTGAATTACACTCGGTCATTGCGATTTGATGAGAAGCCTGATTACTCCTATCTCCGTCAACTCTTTCGAAATCTATTCCATAGGCAAGGCTTTACATATGACTACGTGTTTGATTGGAACTTATTAAAGTTTGTAAGTATTTAGAAGTTGCACTAATGTCATGTTTTTTTCCCTTGTATTTAATCTGTACGCAATTATAGCGGAGTTTGCCACGTACCTGAATTATGTCCGTTCCCTGGGCTTTGAAGACAAGCCTGACTATTCCTACCTACGTCAACTCTTCCGAAATCTCTTTCATAGGAAAGGTTTCACCTATGACTATGTCTTTGATTGGAACTCGTTGAAAATTCATGTAAGTACTGCGTTATCCCGTTCCAGAAATTTTACTGAAAGTAAAACAAACTAAAATCTAGTTATGGGTGAAAGGTGTAGGAATAGTTAGAGGGAAACAAATTAAGCCAAATTGCGTTGTGTACATTATATTGCTACTCGCATTTTGGTTCCATGCTTTCTCTTTGAACAAAGATGTATATTACAAATTGTATTCACATGGTGAAAAGACAAAGCATTGGAATATAGAATGTAAGCTTTGAAATTTATTGCATATTAAGTGGTGTAAGTAGTTTTATACCTTGACAGTCACAATGCCGTAACTCCATGCATTTATGGCATGGTTTTTTCTGGCCATATGGCTGTCATTGTCAAATTAATTTGTTAATGTATTTGAATTCCGTTTTCAAAGAAGCAGATAGATTCTCCCAATTCCTGCTAATTTCCAATGTGTGTCTACTATTAAAGGGAAGTCCACAAATTGATGTATTCTGAACTTGAACTTCAGAGTTGAATCCAAAAATGATATTGCCTTAACGTATATAGAGCGATTATCGGTATTTTTGAAGAGCACTTCGATTCCTCTGTAGTTCAAGTCTTGTTCATTATATGCACTGAATCTATAATATCAGGGAATATGTATACAATTATTCCTTGTGTATCATCATTTCATTTACTCTACACTAAAGTGGAAGTCCCATGACGCAACTGGAATAGGCACAAGACTCCCATTCAAGCAAGCGATTTGAACCTCTATTTATACCTTGGCAAACACAAACAGACTTTCCAAAATCTGAAAATGAGAAAACAATATATGCCCAACCTCCTGTTGTGAAATGATAGTTTGTCTAAGTAGTGAGGCGAACTTTCTATCGGGGTTACCAATAGAGAGTAGTAAAATCGGTACACCTATAGCAATGTGACCTATTATGAAGTATAACAATTTAAAATGTAAGTGACTATTAACCATGCCACCAATGCCACTTGAATTGAGGATTTCACTGCTTCGGAATTGTTGCATTGCTTGGTTGGTACCTCATAGATTACCATAGAAAAGATTGTTTGAAGGGGTGGTGGCAATTTCAGTAACCATGCAAGTATTTTTTGCTCCTGTGCAGAAAAAGCATGAAATTGTATCTGTCAATTTGTATGTCCATCTTGTCTGTGTTTATTTAAAATATATGTACATAATGTGCATGCAAAGTCTGATACATAGTACATCTTGATAATGCAAAAATGAAGGTCAAAACACAAGTCCCTGTTTTCGAACTGCTATAGAACGGGACAAATATGGCTGTTGACCTTATGCGATATGCAACGTGGAAGAAAATCCTTGAGTCGTGAGGCTTTCCCTGACCAGGATTTCTCTCTCAGTCAATGGCTGAATCGCAGATTAATGCCAACAGTTCAAAATAGCCATAGGTGAATAGGCAGGTTGAAAACCCTTCTGCCTAAATCTGGTCATTTAGAGTACAATTTTATGTACAAGGTAAAATCTGTAATATAATTTGTAATTTGGTAGTGTATGCACAAGGGTTTAAAAAGTGATGGTTGACAAACGTTTCCAATCACAAAATGCAGTATTTCAGCACCATATTTGCTCCATCAGAAGAACAAGAAATGCATTAGAGGGGTACGGGTATAACCAATGTGGCTCAAAATATTCATCCTTAGTGAAAGCACTGGTGCAACTAATATTAAGAGATAATATCCCAAACTGTTCTATGTTGTGTCTATCTGTAAATGTTTACTTGATAATAGTATCGTTGTGTTGTGCAGGGTGGTTCTTCCAGGGTCCCCCATGTGGAAGATGATAGAAGAGAAAGGGACCGGGAACATCGGCACACGCACACATCAACCACCAGAGCATTACCAGGAACAGCCAAATTTAAACACGATTCCAGTGGAATGCCTCTAGGTGCTGGTGCACCAAGTCCAGGCCCTGGTAAGTATAAGGCTGCTTGGTAAGGTGGTGGGTTAAAAGGCTTAGCGTTTTAAAGCTCTACTGCTCCCTGATCTATGACAGTATTCACAAGATATCTGGGTCAGCAAATGGTCAAAAGGTACTCTGCAATCAGCAGCATTTAAGATACGGAATTGCACATTAGCCTGTTAGGATTTAGCATAAATGTAACACGGGTAACAAAACAAGTTTCTGGTTGAATTTTGATGTTGAAACTAAATCATCACTCTTGAATCTATCATGTATTGTAAACATGATATGTTATCATTACCAAGATGCAACTTAACAAATTAATCTACTTGTTGCTGGTTGACAAGAAAGTGCCGTCTCTTTTTGTCATTCAGAACACGTACAGTAATTAAATAAGTTGGCGAACAGAGCATTTATTTATGAACAGTAAAAAAAATGTATTTTTTTCCTGACTCTGATATTTATTAAATCTGAGTAAACAATCGCTGTCCACACATGGACTGTTAAGTACGGTAATCATTATATTAGCGTTTTCAGCATTAAATTTTTGATGCAGAATCAGTGACTGTGTAAAAAGTGTTGTAGATTTGATACTTGCTTTGTGTTTGGCAGTTCATGGCAACATTGATATAGCAAGTTTACAAGACGCTGGTTAGTAAAGATTCAAGAATGATTTAGTTTCAACATAAAAATTCAACCTGAAACTCATATTTTTTTTCCTACGTGTCATTTATGCTCCTCGGTCAGATGGCTACTGGTATAAATTTATGAATAACGCTGTAACATTTAAATCTGGTTCATGATACACTTTGTATGCTGAATGACTCGTAACCAAATATAGGAGACATCCTGACTATGACTTGACTTAGCTGAAACATCCACATGGTGTTTAACTTCACATCTCAATGCACATTTAAAAATTTATTTCCAATGTTCCAACACGCAGTATAGCTTTAATTACTGATGTTCATGTATTTGATTTTGCACGGTTTATGATATTCTCTTTGCATTTATAACTTTGCTTGTCGGATGTCTGAGTGCAGAAGAGTACAGTCCTTGCCTAAATTAATCTTGAGTTGCCTTTAATTCAAAACTATTGTCTAAACCTGAGTGGAGTCAAGTGAATTTTCATGCCCCACCTACTGCATAGTCTTGTTATGTAAACCAAACATCTGTAAACAGAACGCTGTTTATTAATATTGTTCTTAGTTTTCAGTTCAGGTGTTTTTCACTGAACCACTTAGTAAAGTGATTTATAATTGGCACAGATGTATACTATGCAAGCTCAAGCATTAGTTTAAGTATTGACTGTACCCAAGTAAAACCATATTTAAACTAAACGCCAGTGAAGCTAAAATGATTAGTAAACGTGGCTTTCAGTTTAGACCGGTTTCACTTGAGATTGGTGTAGGTTTGTTGGTACATGCATGCCATTCCACCTTGTCTAAACCACATTGTCACTATATTTGCAAACTTGCTTTAATCCATCTCACTGTGTTATCTTGCTTGTGCTAATCCAGATCCTTGTCACATTATGCTAACTAACAATCTGAGGGGGAAAGCGGTGCATGTCTTGTAATCCTTGCAGTACAGTTGACTTGAGAACAGTATATTGATAAGTGTATATATATATATATTAGTGTAGACGTTTCCTTTGTTTATATGTTTATGTTGACAAATATTTTGAATCTGCATTTGCTGTTATTGACCTGCTCTGGGTGAAATTTATTTTGTACCTCTGATCTGAAAAGTTGTCTTTAGAGACTTGGTTCCTTTCAAAGTTGATGTATTTCATTACCTATACTACAGTCTTGTGGAATTTATGATCAAGACTGTCGACAAAGACGAGTTCAGGCTGCAATGAGGAATACAAAAATAATTTTGATGACGACGTGACTTTGGAACCTCGGGGGAGAAAAACTACAAAAATAATTTCCAATTTGATGACAGACCACAATGCTTACAAAAAGGAGTAATTTCAATTTTGATGACGTACCTTAGTGATTGATGTTGCATTGACTATAAAAATAAGTTTCAATTTTGATGAAATGGCGGTATTTGAGTCCGCAATAATGACTACAAAAATTAAGTTTCAATTTTGATGACGTAGTAATGTTGATGGGGTTTCTCACTATTCAATGAATATTTTGGTATTGTTTGCTCTTACTTATCTCATTGTGGATTAGGTTCCTATAAACGTGCAGAGGAGGTCAGAGTAAATCAAAGAAGACAGGTGGAAGGCAAATTGAAGAAATACAGATCAGTGACACAAGAAACCCAGCCAACCTAAGACAAGTCAGCCCATAAAACGAAACAATGTATATAGTCAGAAATAATGCACTTGCCAGACATTCAACTTGATCTGAAAATCAAGTCAGTCTGCAGGGGGGGAAAAACTGCATACGCCGTAGAAGATTTTTGTGTCTATAATGAACTAAAATCTGTTCTTTTCTACTTTCAAAATTGACAGTGATATCGTAGTAGGATGATGGAAGTTATGGAATTAGGATGTTGTGACAAAATGACAATGCTTGAATGTTAAGGGTCTTGTTACCTTTCATGCAATCCATCCGTCATTTCACAAATTTGTTATGAACTGCATTTAGTTTTGCTTCATTTATTTATTGCATGGGGTTTCGAGTCAAAATCTGACTTAAGTAGAGGAACCATTCGCTTATTTTTAAACCTGTATCTTAACTTGGTCACCTAACTATATCTGACACATTATGTATGCAAAAATTGTCTTCTGCCAGCCTCCCCTCTGTCATACAAACAATTTATGTTGTTTATGCCGTTGTGTATCAAATGTAGTTTCCAACATTCGATACAGTGAATGAGCGAGTAGTGTCTCTCCTTCAGATTTGAATTTAATAAGATTAAAGATTTGCAATTTGTAGAATGAGCTAAAATATCTGCTCCCATACTCAGTCTGACTAATCCTCATTTAGTATCTTCATTGTTGTGATTTAACTGTATCGCATTTTCTGTACCTCCAATAAGGGCCTGCATGTATTTTGTAAACTTCAAAATGTAGTCCTTAGATGTGTGATGTTTTTTTCATTTGTATATTTGGCACAATTCCCCATTTGCACACTTCTATTGGAGAAAATGCGTTACTTTTTTTATGTGCTTTCATGAACTAATAAATCTAGACATATTCTTGATGTGTTCTGTTTGTCATAGCATCAATGGAAGGTCTGCATCTTTGACGTCATTGTGACAGTTTTACCTATGTCTTCAAATTGCTCTACAAAATGTTTATCTTTAGGCAACTGTATACAAAGTTACGTCTGTGCAAACCCTCTATTGATGCAGTAAAATGTTTGTTCCATCTTTTAAATGTTTGCGTGCAAGATGCTGTTGAGTTGTCCATGCAGCACACGGCATCGTCTTTTGCTCATGTACTAACTCCTACTTCTGGGTTTTGTGTGATTCCTGTGTGTTTGATGCGCATAGCCTTGCAAAAACTGCTGACTTTGCCCATAGCTGCAGTCAGAGCATAGAGAGGAAAAAAGTGTACATGGTCTTTGTTTATTACTTTTTACATTACTCAGCCAATCCATCTTCCCGTCCAGTTTCACGAGCAGAGGCCCAGAGGAATGTCAGTCGTCGACTACACCGAGGCGTACCACCCATATCCAGTGCTGATCCATTGAGGCGGGAGCCGACACGCATGTCCGCGTCATACGCCACTGTGAATGGTATGGGCAGTGGGCCGCTGAGACCTGATACAGCCGTCAAGGACAGGGAATATGATATCACGGCTAGATCATCGTCATCACGATATCTTAAAAAATAAGTGAGATATACATGTTAGCTGTGACTCGTCAGAATTCAATATTGACTAATTTAAACAGGATATCGTTTGCAGTTGTCAAGCTCATGCCATCCAAGATGATTTTCTACAATAACTTATTGATGTGCTACAAGTGTGGATTTCTCGTAGTCTTTATAAATACTTTTGAAAGAGAACTCTCGTCTGAAACCCGCTTGATGAACACTTTTTGAATACAACTTTCTCCTGAGGTGTGTTTATTGAAATAAGCAGACTGCTGACCTTTCTACTGGCTTTATCAGTAAAAACAGATGTTTTTTTTTTTTTATTTTATGATGTTCTAAGTGACATTCGTGGGAGTCTCTTTCAACTGAGAAAGAGGTACGTACTGTGTTGTTGGTATTGCTTAGTAACAAATGTACGTCAGACAAGCAGTGCCGAACAAAATAATACCGGTACACACAATAGTTGTGCAGCTTTGCCCGCAACTTTAGATTTTGTTGAAACAAAATTGCGTAATGTGTGTACTATGTCTGCCTACCTACCCTATCAGAAATGGCATATTTTGATACACAGAAAGAAGCCTTTGTAAGTCTCCCAATTATTTTTTTTTTCGGAAAAAGAATTTTTTGTGTACTTTTTGTGTGAAAATACTTGTAAATATAGGAAGTTGTTTGTACCTGGTGAATGTTAATCAGTCTTGTTAGCCACCTCATGTTCCCAGTTTTTGTTTAGACATGGCATGCTTTTGTAGGGTGTGAGCACTGCATCACTTGAGATCCAGACCTCTGAGTATATGAAAATGTACCTTAAATTATCACTTGATTCATGACAGGAAATTTGAAAATTTTGGCTTTGTTTCTGGTAATAACAAAATTGATGCTATTCATTTAGTTACAGTTGTTACAGTTGATCAAATGCTATTAAAATTGGGAGGAAAGGTTTTGCCAACAAATCATACCATTTGCTTGTAAACTGGGAAAAGATTTGCATTGTCTGCATGAACATTAGTCTTGGCTTCAAGCAAGAGGTGGCATTTGGGAAGATGGGGTGGCAGATGACATTGTATCATTAGTGATGTAGTTCTGTGGCATGTTTGTGAAGTTCATGTGCACATTCTGGTCATCTTTAATTCATCAACTTGTCGATTTTAGGGTGCCTAGGCATATTGACTCTCTTTGTAGAGTGTGCCTAGTTTTGGCTGCTTTCATTATGTTTCTAAAGTCTTTTCTTTGAGTTTGCATCATGGGGTTCAAGTCAGCAGGAATATGGTAATTTCTCGTATCGTTTCAGTGCGTAGGAACTTTCCTGCCAGACAATGGAGGTTGTATTCTTTGTCTATGGCGTGGCATCGAACTTGCACAACAGTCGAATTTGATAATGTCAAAGACATGGAAATTATTCATTTTGTCCCTGAGGATTGTAGAGAGATTTATAATAATGCTCATTCAGCCTTTCCTTTGAACCCCTCACCTACGTCACCAAATAGCAAAACTATCAGTTTCAGCTGTTTTATGAATGTACAGGCAAAATATTGGATTTATGTTCCTATTATCGATTAGTAAAATGGCTCAACTTTTAAAGTGTTGATGCCATCATATGGAAGTATTAAAACTATGAAGTTTTGTAATACCAAATTTACTCTATTTAAAACCCATTTCCAATAGTGCATATAAACCAAAGATGAGTTTTCCAGGAAAATAAAATAAAATAAGACTCCTTCAACTCCATAGAAAAAAAAATGCCTTTCATGTAGCTAAGAGCATGTGCTTCTAATAGAGCAAATATGGTATGTGCTGGTATAGCTGTTCTGGTTATGAGGTTATTCAAAATGCCCCTGTTTTGACTGGTGAAATGCATTGGTTTGTCAGCTAAATGTATATCCATTACTTTATGCTTGGTTGAGGTACAGGATATTGTCCCTTCCAGAATGTAATCATGCACAATGGGTGCACAGTGCTACTAAATTATAACATGCATGAGAGAGTGGTCACCATACAAATGGGGAATGACACTCCCTGTGAATGTTTATTTTATTTTTTAATCATTCTGTACTCCACCTGTTTTTTTTTTCTCCATGTATTTCATTCAGCACTATTCTTCTGGTTTGTGCCGACTCAAGACGACATTTGGGTTTAATCTTAGTACATCAATAAAGAATTCAACTGTACAGCATTTTCATATAACAATGCACTCGTCTTTGCTCTCTTCTTTTCAGTATTTATGTAATCAGTGCTTTCGCTAACTTTTCACTAGTTGTAAATGGTGATTAAACTACAACAATTGCCTATTCGAGGTTGCGGTATGGTAAAAACACAAAAAATGGCGATATTTGAGTCGTTTAACAATGGTTCCTATGAGAGGGGGGGGGCTCTTGTCGTATCAGAAAATATTAGGTGATCTGTAGTAAAAAATAGTATGTTATAAGATGGGTAATTCTGATCGTCATGAAATATGCGATTTTTGGAATTCAAAAATTCGTCATGCAATTTTGTTTGAAGCCATGAAGTCTCCATTATGTTCTGAACCATGACATTGTCAGTTAAGTTACTGCCTGGTTTATAATGCACGTCTGGAAATATCTGCAAGACTGGAATAAGTTGAGTCAAACCAACCTTGGGGGTGCAGACATGGTGACCATTCAATTAATACAAATTGCTGGATGGCAAAGTTATGCAAACAAAATCTATGTACTGGTGGCCTTGTGTGTCTGGACATGTTTGCAAGTGCTGAACTGTGCCCATTTGTAAAAATTGTGATCGGAAAAGTTCTTGCCCCCCAACTTCGAGGTCAAATTTCTTGCTAACTGTTCAATTGGACTGCAAATCACAGATCAACAATCAAATTATTTTCTGAGAGTACTATAAACCTCAATAATGTGGATCCCGTTGTGCATCTCAAATAGCAGATGCCAAGCTTGTGTCTTCAATACCGAGAGTGCAGTAGAACGAAAGTTCTTTCTAAGCATTCTTTGATTATTTTATTATCTGCCATCTACAAATATTTAATTTTTACAAGTCTTGCATCTTCCAATGCATTCAGAGAAT